TTTGTGGTTCTTTTGTTTGGTCCCCATACACATCAGTCTAGCCAGTGCTATTGAAGCAATTTAGAATCGGTGTTTAAGGTTTTTTACTTTAAAGTGTGGTGTTCAAAGACATTGTTGCACAATATTCATCCTATTCAACTTTACTTTCAATAACTAATTTAGAAACTTTAGTGGTCAAAAGAATTCTATCTAATATTTTTTTACTTTTAATTACTGAATGGTTTAATACATTTTTCTGAATAATTATTAATTCAATTTAACTTTTTAGTCCTTAATCTTATATCGTAATACATTCTATATACCATTCCGTCGTGTTAATTACTCTAAAAACATTCCGGTAATAAAACTAGTGGATTTTATAAATAAATTTAATATCGACTTAATCTATTCTCATAAATAAAATAATAGTGGAGGAAGTAGAATATAGAATGATTAAATATATGGCCCCGTTGGTTACCTAGATCATTAACTACTTCCTATGATAATAGGAAATAAATATGAAATACAAATTTTACAATATTATACTTGCCTATTCTGGATAGAATTTCTTCAGCAACGGTATTTCTATATAGTAGCGATGTTGAAGCAAAAAAATGAGTAAAATTACGTTAATTTATTGACGCAGAGAAAACACACACCAGGAAAAAGGGCAACGTACGTCTCGGCGCGAGTAAGGGCTCTGGGTTGAATGATTAGGCCGGGGAGTATTTAAGGGGAAAAAATGGGAGAACATGTGTGTTGTCATCCGGTCGTCAATATCATATATATTATCATTAAGACATTAAATATTATTATTATCAAATATAAATCGACTTCATAACTAGGTAATAAAACTAATAGGTATAATTAAAAGGGCGTACCTACATTTTTATCTTTAAACAATTTATCGATTGCACCGAACTTTTTTACATATTGATTCTAATTCTTTTTTTATTATTATTATTGATAAAAGGTATATTCTCGTGAACTAACAATCATTTAAAAATTAATTTTTACACGGTGTAACATAAAACACCCAAAAGATTACAACCGTTACTAAATATCTATAACTTGAACACAAGACCATATTGAAAGATGTATAGTTTTATTTCTGATTTCGGGTTTTTCGATTAAACTTTTATTTATTATACAGATTACGATATGGAACCGACGCAATAATACGCGATCTCCAATGGAATACATATGCTATATATACAGAGTGATTCACTAAGTGTGCTCACTGTATTTTGTCGGTAAAATTTTACATATATTCAATTTCTGCTTTTGAAATGTTTAAGTGTAGTCAAAATCAATATTTTCGAATACTTAGAAGAAGATTTTTCACAGTATTTAAGGAATATTATGTGGCCAACTTTGGTTTTTCAAACGAAACCTTATATTAAAAATTCCATGAATAGACGGAGTATTACTTTAATTAAATTTTATTGTCAACCGTTAACTAGATATTCCACTTTTAAGTTTTAGTAGGAGGAGTAGTAGTGGAGTATCATTTGTGTGGCGGCACGGCGTGCGGTGTTCTATTAAGACAGGGACACACTATTCACATGTGACGTGGCAACACGTCATTACACGCTACGCTATGATAACTGTTAAGACGTGTGATATACTATTGTGCACATGAATACAATGCAATAAAACGCGACGGATACCTAGCACAATAATAAAATAAACGAATAGTCAAATTAGTCGAATAAGTATCAATACCAATTTGCAAGAAAACATATTATTATAAATTGTTCAAGTTCGTCTGATAATAATTGAGAAGAAGAGTTGAAAGAAATGGCTGTGGCAACATTTTTAAATGAGTCCACACAAGTAGCCGAAAATCCTTTTAATGCGATAAGGAATAAAAAAATTATTAAAAACTATTCAAACTTATTTCCTCATTACATTTTCAATTAATTTTTCTTCACTGTATGTGGAGGACATTGTCAAACGTTGAATGTTCGGAATAAAATGACGCAATTTATCATCACACGTCACACGTTTTTCAAAATTGTTCGAAACGCGTGGTGTAAAATTGAGTGGGAACGCCTTGCATGTTATAAAATATGATCACGAAACCGATGATTATTTGAAAATAAATGGGTAATACGCCATTTAGAATTCGTGGCGTGTGACGGCGTGTTACCAGGTAGCGTGTGAATAGTGTGTCCCTACTTTTAGTGTTCCCCAACCTAAATTTATTTGAAAACCGGAAGTCAGAAATAAAACAGTTAGTCTACATCTTTTGACATCTTTCAACTAGTATTCAAATAATAGACATTTAATAACGGTTTTAATTTTTTGTGTGCTTTATGTTACACCGTGTAAAAATTAATTTTGAAATAATTGTTAGTGAATGATTTATACCTTCTATCAATTAAAAAAAAAAAGAATTAGAATCAATGTTTAAAAAAATTCGGTGGAATCGATAAATTGTTTAAAGATAAAAATGTTATTTCGGCAGAATCGATGGAACTAACACAGAAATGCATAACAATTTTAGTATTTTCAACACGAGGTTCGTCATAGATTGTACTTAGTGTTTAAAAAAAAACTATCTTTCATTTCGGATTTCCTTGTAGAAAAAGTTGAGCACAGAAAGAAAAATAAATATCTTTGTAAGACATAGCATTTTAATAATTATGATCAAATCAGCATCATAATAACCATCAATACTGTAATAGTATTAATCAACAATAATAAAAATCAACATACTCATAGCAACCATTAATAATAATAATAATAATAATCAACAAATATCATAATCAGTATTTTAATCAAATAACCAACAATAATTATAAGCTTAACGAGGGTATATCTTGATGATTATTTTTATTATTTACATTTGTAATAAGTATGTTGATTATGATTATTATTGTTGTTGATTAATATTATTTAAGTGATCATTATATTTATTATTACCATGTTTGCTTCTTTTTAAAATCCTGATTACGATTATCATTTTTAAAGTGATCTTTATCATTATTATAGATACTGAGTTAAGCATAAATATGTTTATTTTTTTCATTTGTTGAGGAAAATCCTGGGAAAATCAAAAAATTACCTCCCTTGGGTACTTTCTCAGTCAGATTTCCTTTTAGAAAATGTGCTATTATGTTAAATCGGAGCAAAATTGCTTTTTGAAAAATTGTTCACAGAAAAAAAATCCTAATATTTTATTAATACAAGTGATATTTTTAAATAGTCTGAGTTAAGAGCACAGCTAAACTACAAATATTTCATTTTATTTTGTATAAAAGAAATACAATAAAATCATGTTTTGGAACCTAAAGACCCTTAAAATATTAAGAACCGTAATCGAATTTAAATATTTTTAAACCTAACCTAACCGGAACCCAAATTTTTAAATTAAAAAATTATTTATATTGATAAATTATATTGTTTTTTCTCCGTGGATTATGATCAATTTAACGGCTATAACGCTTTTATCACAGATTACAATACGACTGTTTTATTAACTAATTTTATTTTTGTTTAGAGCAGTTTATTTCTTGTTAGATCATGATAAGTAATGGGAAAATCGGTACAATATTAAACAAATATTATTAAAGAAAACAAATAATGTAAATTTAATTATTTTACCATATCATGACATATATATTGTTGACAAAGCATCTCTATTAACTGAACCCCTCTCAGAATCGTTTTTTCGTTAGCAATAGTTTATTGTTGCTTCCATATTACATTAAATTCCTTTCTGTATCCTATCTTCTCAACTTCCCACCTACAACAGTGGCTGCACCCACGTGCGAAGTATGTCCGTCTTTTTATGTTTGATTACTACTATTTTAATAATTTAATGTAACTATATAAAACATTTAATCTAAATCCTGAAGATACAAAAGAATACATAAAATATATACATTTTTGGAATCGTTTAATACAGGTTTTAACTAGAACCCTAACAACTTAAACTCTTAAATTAATTTTCCAAAACCAGAATTGGAACTAAAACCCTTAAATAAAAATTGTCATAAATTTAAACCGAAACCAGAACTTCTTGATAAAATAATTAAGTACCGGAACGGTAAAAAACAGAAGGTACTAGTCCCTGTCCACAATAACTATTCATACTCTTGTCTCTTTACTATCAAGTGGCTAAAAAATGTTTTTTTTTTTCATTCGAATATAAGAGATGGTATGATAATATGTTATATTAATTATATTAAATACAAATAACTCTAAATTTGATTTTCTCGAAATCAATAAAATATCATTTGTATTCCTTGAGTTCTTGGCACATCATATTTCTTATATTTTCCTGTTTTCCTCAGTTTTTTTTCGATTTTTCACATTTAATAAGAAAATTCCTGAAAAAAATCTAAAAACGATCTCTTTAAAGCAGTGGTTTTCTAAAAAAAAAAAATATATATCTTTACAAAACCATAATCTTCTTCACTCCACTCAGAATCTAAAATGAGGCTCCCCCCCCTTAAGTATCGTGCACGTTGTTTTTATAAAAGTTTTGACGATTCTTCACAAATATTCAATTGATTTTAATTATTTGTGTGTTAAGACACCTGCGCCTGCGAATGACCTGTTGCATTTTGCTCAAAACATATTATGTCAAAATGATATGGTTTACATGGTAGCTGTAACTCGTAGAGACGTTCGATTTCGGGTTTTTTTTTGTTTTTCATCAGTGGGCAGCTTTCTGTAAAAGGAAGTATTTGTCTTCGATTTATAATACTAGAAAAAAAAAAATGTATTATAATAATGATAAACATCGGTCATATTCATAATAATTATAACGTTAAGAAATATATTTTTTTTTTCAAATTCAAGTACAATATATCCAATAAAAAAAAAAAAAACCTCCATTAAAAAAAAAATAATAAATATCACCGAAATCGGACTGGAGAGTTAACCCGATAAACCCGATGTTTTTGGTTACAAAAAAAAAAAATAAATAACACTTCTGGTTACCTACCTACCTACCTACTTATTTCAGAATTATCGCCGTTATCGACGGAATGTTACACGCGATCGGTGGTCATCAAGTGGCGTATTCTATACACTCGGACCGAATGGGAGTACAACAAGGGGTTAATGTCCATTTCTACGGTAGAGAGATATAACAGTTCGGCCGAGAAATGGGAACTTGTAACGCTTCCGTATGCCAAAACCGATGAGGGCGTCGATTTTTTTTTTTTCAAATTTTCTGAGAGGATATGGGAGAAAGGACCGTAAAACGTTTGGGCACATAAATGTAACACATTTGGTGGTACCTAGGTACCTCGCTGTTATAATGTAAAAAATACAAACACCGGATAACCCACATGGAAATTATGTAATTATGCAGTGTACGTAACTATATGTTATCGCAGCATTTGTATTTTATGATTTATGAACTTTTGAAAACGATTAAATATCTTTGTCTTCATATGATTAGCTATTTCGGACACCTCTACAGTCTGCACAGACTGTAGACGTGAATTGAATTGGAAATCCATGATTTGTGATCGGATTTATATATTTAGATCGGTATTATAATACTAACTCGACAAAAACGTTGCAAAATACTCATCCCTAATATTGGTTCGAGTTTGCTGGTAGAAATATTAAATAACCGTATCAAAATGAATAAACAAGAGTAAACAGCATTTAAAAATATACAAAAAGACCGTGTATCAAAATAAATAATAATTTTAAACATAGGTAACTAAAGTATTTTTGGGAGAATAAAAAGTGTCAATCTATTCTCAGTGGCGTTTCCTAGGTGTAACGCTTTAGACAATTTTGAAATTAATAACAAAAAAAAAAAAAAAATTGTGCCAACCTTAAAGTATTAACTTGTTGTTTTTGTAGGCATGTCCAAATGTTTTATTAATTTGCACCCAAACTATGTATTTGTGTATACCTAGGTACCCAAATGCATTGCATTTGAGTTCTACTTACCAGACGTGCTGTGTCCAAAATAAAAAAAAGTTTAATAGTATAATACCTTTTATAGCAGTTTTTGAATTTCCTAGAACAGAGGTTTATTCATTAACGACTCTGGTGGCGCTCATGTTATAACATAATGCGATTTTAAAGTGACGAGGAAAATATTATGAATATTCACAAGGAGCTGGGATGTTTATTACACACGGAGAGACGAATCTAATTCTAAAATATTAGGTATCAGCAAGTGAAAACCGTAAAACTTGATTTCAGGCTTTAGTTATTGATAGGTCGTTTAAAAATATTTTATTGTCTCCGTGAAATAGATATAGGTACCTATTAAAAAAAAAAAAAAATAAAGTATCTAGGTGAAAACTTTTTCGAATCATGTTCCTACTTACCTAGGTGTTCTAAAATGTTACATCACCAATATATTTTTCATCATACATTTTGGGTGAGAAATCACTTCCCAAATTTTGATATTTAAATGGCAATCTATATTACAAAGTCCATAAATAGACGAGTTGACGGAAATTAAACATTTCAACGCCAGAATGTATTTAAACAAAAATGTCATCTATTCGCGGAATAGTAATTTACGAATTTGTAATATCGGTTAACATTTGATACCTTATGAAAATATGATACCTAGTGGTTTCACCCTCAAACGGCTCAAACATAATGACATTTTATAATGTAATACGTTCAAATAAATTGCTACTTAATAGGTAATTTTTTTTAAAAAATATGTATTTCATAGTGAAATAATTGACTAGAACCTAAGATTTGTAAGGCCCTGCTTATATTTGCGTGAAAATTATCTTTAAAAGTACTATTTTTTAAACGAAATTAATTTTGAGATTTTTAAAGTCGACATTTATAATAATAAACTTAGTATATTTATTGTGATAACTAATAAGAAAATAAATAGTATTCAATAATCACTTCATCCGGCAAAACACCACGGATTAACAATATTTGATTTCACCTATATATACCAACGTATTGAAAATAATAAACTTTTGATTTGCGAACCACACATTATAAAATGGGAAACTTGTGTTCTAGAAATGTACAATACATATAGGTACCTACATAAATGCAATTTATAATGGCATATTGCTTATATAAACTTACAATGGCTTATTATTATTATAACTTATAGGTACATAAGAAGAACGCAAGTCTATTAGTTTGAAAATCACAATCAATATTAACAATAAAAACCTTAAAATATAATATGCCTATTATATATATATAATGTAACAGCTCTGGCTTCTAACATCATTGAATTCGTTATTATAAAACTCGAACTCAAATATGTTCTACAAAGTATGTCCAACAAATGAACGATTTATATATGATGTGCTAAAAAAAACCAAAATGAGCATTTGTTTTGTTTTGCTTCATGAAACATTGTGTTCACATTTTAAGTTTTTAATAATATAATAATCCTAATTGATAAACATCACTATGTTCTTATTTGTCATACTCCGTATAAATCTATTTATTACCTACAGTAGAAATACAATTTCTTGATTAACTGTCAGGGCCCTCCTTTACATATATATCTGGATTAGCTGTTAGCCATGTTTAAAAGGGTGCTATACCCGCCCGCATGTCTCAGTCCAACTAACAGGCAATATAAAATCACCTGCTATAAAACTAAAAGATTTTACATTAAAACCAAAATTAAGCGAGTTTTACACAATATGAGTAAGGTAGATTTAGCTATATTGTTTGTTGTTGAACATAATTTGCGGGTACAATGTCCTCTGTAGTAATAGTAATCATGTATAACATTAAAATTGAAAAAAAAAATAAATATTGTGTATTACATTCCATGTTAAACTGTATGATTAAACAAATTTTCACTTTCTTGTCTTTTCTATTATCTGCCAAGACTCCAGTCCTATGATTGACAGTTAATGAAGGTTCTACTATAGTTCCTTTTTTTTTTTTGTTTTCAATTATTTTAATAAATTGAAATTATGTTTGCACAGAAATCTTTATATTATCTATTGCCTGCATTTTGCTGTTCGAGTTCAAAATATTTTCTATAAGGTGTTTATATTAACCAAACTATATAGGTATATAACATAATAAACATAAAAATATTGCTCATTTTAAGTCAAGAGATTCATTTGTCCAGAGTCTTCTTCTATTCCAATGTATCATTATTGTCCTCCATCAATCATCTTAACAACATTAAATAATTACAAAACCAAAATTTAAAATTATGCTTTTATACACATCTATATTGAAAAAATTACAAATTTTAAGCGAATAGATGGTTTAAATTTTATAAAGTTCTAAAATCAAAATCGAAAAATAATTTTAACAAACAAATGTAAGTATACAATGATACTATTTCCATTATAATATTATTATAGAACAGTTTAAAAAAATGATGTATACGAGTATAAGTAGACAACAAATAAATAAAATAAATAAATAATAATAATAATAATAATAATAATAATAATAATAAACTAATACAGTTTGTGGTGAAGATTTTTCAATCACAATTTGGAGTGGTGAAAAAAAAATCACAATATATAACATTATAATATATGGTAATATTGTTACGAGGACTAGGGGGGACCTTTATTTTTATAATTTTTTTTATTCTTCTTCTTTTATGTAGAAAATAAATTGTATAAAATGATTTATATAAATGCTATACTAGCAGTAACTACTTCAGTCATTCGAAAAATTGATTTTCAAATACATTACATACAATTATAATATAATGTACCTACAAATAGATAATAATTAAATAATATTAATAAATTCTCATGTAATACATTAATCAAACTGTATCATTGAAGAACATAATATAATATGATATATAATACACACACACATATTATAATATATAATATATTATATTTTATAATAATAATAATAATAATAATAATAATAATAAAAATAATAATATGTTACTTAAATGTCTAATTAATTAAAATATTTATTAAAAAAAAAAAAATTAACTAGATAAATTTAAGTTGATGGGTTGGGTAATATAATCATTATTACCAACATTCAGGCAAGGTTTCTTTATTTTCTTTTTAGAATATATTATATATTACGTGGCAAGATTTAGCAATACATTAATTTTCATAATTAGCTGCCTGTGTTAGAGGTATATTTTTGTTTTTATTGCGTTTTTTTTTTTTTTGTTACTACATGTGCCTTAAATCTTAAAAATCATTATAATCAAAAAGGGCTAATCACTATGATTTTCAATAATAAACTAATATTCTTTAAACAAATGTGATTTCACAAAAAAAAAAAAAAATTAAAATTAACAAAACTCATAATCACTTATTCATGGAAGACCAAAAGAAGTGTAACTATACAGAACGAATGACCAATATTAATAAATAATCATGTAGATAAGTGAATACCTTAATAATTTGACCGTTTAAAAAGAAAATCTTACGGTCACGGTACAACTTTAATGTTACAATATAACAGGAATAACGTTTTCATCGAATTTGTACTTTTTAAAAACCGATTATTAACAGTAATATTACAATTACGTTTTGAAAAAGGTGTTAAAAATAATAAACTAGAAAATAAAAAAGGAAGACAAAGAAAATAACATTTTTGTTGCATTTAAGTAGATTAAAAGTATTCCAATTGCCCGACCTTACTTTATGCGTGTTTTTTTTTTCTTTAGTCTGATTTAACAACATTTAAAAACCTAAAAATAAAATCAAATCAACAATATCACTTTTACGATAACAGCCAAAGTAATAATTATGTCATAGACTATTTAAAACACTATTTTTTATCGTCCTTATAAGTTATCGGGTCTGACTCTAGTTACAAATATTAGTATACATAAAACACATAAAACGACAAGTAAATTGTATCACATGAACATATTAAAAATAGATTTCACAGTTTATGAGTTTGATGTATCAAAATATTGTAATGCAAGTCGAATTTTAGATGACTGACATGTCCAAATTTGTAAATTTGTAGACAAAAAAAAAAAAACAAAACAATGAAAAATAAATGTAATTATTTAATTTTAATCGTATAATAATAGAAAAAAAATGTTAACCTTGTTTTCAAAGAAATTATTGTAAAAATTTATATTTTTCATTGTTTTTTTTTTCTTAGTCATAAATTTCAAACAAAAGATTTGTTACTTAAACATTTTGTAAGAAAATATATCATAACAAAGAGATTTAAATTGATTTTTACATTTTAGGGAAAAATGGAGGTTATTTTGTAAGAATAACAATAATGTGTTTTAAATCACTTAAGACTATATAAATATAAAATATTCCATCAACTTTGGATTTCGTCAGTAATTCTATTCTGTTTATTAAGAAAACATTGATCCTTAATAGGAACTGGCTTTGATCTGGCTGACTGTGTTTTCTAAAACAATAATATAATACATAAATATTAGTGTCATTTAAATGTGAAAAATTTGATTTGAATATTTAAATAACAACGATGAAAATAAATTGAAAAAACGACCTGACATGTACATTTCATGTTGAATTCTAAATTCTTTTCAGAATTTTAAGCTCTTCACTAAATTTTTCTAAATTATCATAGACAAATTTGTCTAAATTACTATTCTCTGAATGGTTGGACAAAGCAAGACAATATTAATATTATTGGATTAGTACCCAATCACCTTAATTAATATTACGTTTTGAGAAATGTTTCAAAGAAACTGGTTATTTATTTTATCAAATTACAAATAAAATTTTACAATATTTCTTTAAAACATAAAGTAAAACAGAGCAGACTTTAAGAATATACATAATAACTGGCATAATAGGTTAGATATAAGCAATATACAATATAGTGATACTATCATAAAGTTAAAATAAAATCAGATAATTACATATAAACAATTTTTTTTAAATATTATACTTATGTTAGGTCAATAAAAAAAAAAAAACTAGTGGTGAATGGTAGTTCTTTAAAAATAATGTATATTAAGTTAATTTTAATTCCTAATTTAGGATTAATAATGCATATTTTTATTTTTTAAGTTTTAAAGAACACATGCGTTAACATTGATAATCATAAAGTGAAAATATTAGATCAATCTTTTGAGAGAAACTGTAAATGAAAATAAACACTTGAAAAAATGAAACATGCCCCAAAATAGATACTACCATGACTATAATATCTTTGATCCCAGGAAAGAAGGAATAAAGTCAACTTTGTATAGTTTTCAACACAAGTAAATTAAATTTAAAAATTGAAAGGTATAAATCAGAAACATGGTGTTACCAAAAATTTTAAAATCGAGATAAAACTTCAATCCTCAAATGTATAAAAAAAAAATATAAATACAAGGAATTTAAATCCAACATAGAATCCCTTTTTACATTGATAATTTGTAGAAATACAAATTGTTATTCAATTTAAACGTATTATCGCCTATTTTTGTAACAAGCAAAACTGTGCTATGGCAATATTCAAATAAAACCGCAGTATTGCAGTATTGTTATAAAGATAGAACAATATTGTACATAAAAATATTACTTGTAATATAGTATATAATAGTTTACTTAATTCGAAATGTGCGGCAATACCACATTTTGACCAGAAAAATCTTTTTAAATTTAAAACATATTTTGAAAGCGTCAATTTTTTTTTTTTCATTTTTAACATATGAATAAACATATTAAAAGTATAATATATGTTGATAGTTTTTCTTAATTTGTGAACATTTTAATTTTAGTAATAACATGTTTAGGATAATGGCCCTTTAATTCCCAGTACCTAATCCGTACTTCACATAATAAATTAATAATGCAACCTACAACTTAAATAATACATATTGTTACAAAGCTAAACTGTAAATAATTATAAACAGAAACCAAACCTAACAGTCTTGATTAATATTGTGACTATGAGGTAGGTTTAAAAACATGGAGTATGATATAAAAAGTATAATTATTTAATTCTAAATGCAGCAAAGAAGTTATTTGTTTTACAATTATGTTTTTTTTTTTTTGGAAAACATTTTTTTGGTTAGTAAAAATGATAAAACTTTTGAATGAAACTTTTCATGTGATACCTTTAAGAGCTCTTTCACACAAAGCCACCAGAACACCACTAAGTTGGTCGTGCCACTCATAGAAGTTTGCGCAACCAGACATGTTGAACCATTTAAATTTATATTATTGTAATTTTAAAATGCACATTCTTTGAATCACTGCCAGTGGCATGTGTTGACGTTTTTTGATTACTTTGTCAATATTCTTTAACGTGGATAGCCACTTTGACTTAGAAAAGTTCATTATAGAAATTGAAAATCAATTGGAAATATAGATCTCTGCTAGAAGAGAGTATTCAGACAGTAGTAGTTGTACCCAAAACTTTCTATTTCTTTTTCGTTTATGTACAATACGACTATACAGATATGGCTACACATGCTAGCTTTTCAACTTCCATTTTGGAACTGAACTAAATTTTTAATTTCAGTTTACCTATGGTATGTTATAACCTACATCGAAACACAGAAGCCTTCTAGAAGCATGAATAATGGAAATGTTTTTTTAATGGTACTGCTCTGGTGGCTTTTAGTGAAAGAGCTTTAAAACAATACAAATAATTTTCCTGATTGCATTATTAATTAAAAACATTAATTGAAATTTTTAGCAGTTATAGTTTTTTATTTTATTTTTAAATTAGCTTGGCAACAAGGGGAAAAACATGACTAATACTGCTCCTTTCATAATTGTTTATTAGACCTAATTATAGCATTTAAAATGGTTTAAGTCATATATGACTTATGCCTTTTTGCAAACCAAAAAATACATCATAGTGATTAATACGAATATTCATACACAATTTATATTATAACTATTTGAGATCTTGTGTTGCATACATGAATAAAGTGTGTTTTTGTTGTAAACCCTAATAACTTAAAAAAATATATATTTATATTTGAGAATCAACCAATGACATAATATTGGAAAACATGTTTAGATTATAAATTCTAAGTTACACACCAGTAAGTATACAATTTAAACCAGTAAGAAGAAACTTAAAATGCAAAATGCTGGTTTGTAAACTGTTTTTACTGATTATGTATAAAAAAAACTTGTTTTTTGGTAAAATATACTTTAAACAACAATTATAATGAACATAAAAAGAAAATAAATTAATTTTTTTCTGTTTTTAAATTCCTAACACAAGTTAATTGAACTAAGAGAATGAAGATAATAAGAAAATAAAATAGTAATCAGTAATACACAAAACTTACTCTTCTACTAAATGGAAAACAACCAGTTTTTTCAGGTTCTGGCGTTAAATCTAAAACTAAATCTGGTGATCTTGATTTGTTTGGCCCAAATACATTGAGTTCTTTATAACAGCCAGTTTCGATCATCTAAAATAAAAGTAATGATATTGTAAATTACAAGTAAGTAGTTAGTCTTATAAATATCTGTACCCAACACATACTTCATTTTGCCATGGTATAGACACAGAGCCTGTATTAAATTTTGTATAAAATGTATCGTCCGTGGCATCTAAATTAACTCCTTTAACAGTGGAAAATTGCTCTATATCTAATACATCCTTGGCATACACAGCGTGGGGCTGAAATAGGAAATTAACAGTTATAAGGAATACAGTATTTTAGTAAAGTTAAACATATAGTAACAAAACATACATCTGGAATAAAAGGAGGATCTTCTACACCAGCTTCCAGTCTTTTCCAATTCATAGTTTTGAAAAATTCGTGTTGTTTGACTTCTCTCGCGCCGTAACGACCACAATGACAACCAAGCCTTGATTTTGGGTTTTTTTTCAAAAGCTACAAAAAAAAAATAAAGAATGTTAACCAATATGTATGTGTTTTAATATGTAATGTGTATAGTTTATCATAATTTAAAAAAAAATTATATTCTACAATATAATTATTTTTAAATTTAAATTATTACAAATCACAATATACATAAAATATTAAGTCTTTTAAAAAAATTGTTTGGTATGGTAGTATAGTTTATAATGTCAATGTATCCTTTTTTTTTTCTTTTGCGCAGACAGATTCTTTAAATTAGCGATCTCATAATCAATTTATCAAAATTAAATCTTATTATTTTTCAGACTTTATAATATGTATTAATTTTGCAAAATTTTAAGTATTATAATTATTTTTACTGAAGCAATATTATTTTTTAAATAGCAATAAACCTTTGATTAAATAATATTGATTTGTACGCATAAACTAAAACACTTATTGAATTCATATTGTGTTGCTGTATGGCTTTTATAACTGTTAAAAGATTTAGTAAAAGTGTTAATAGTCTGACTAAGGAATTTTTAGTTAAAACGGTAAAAAATAATAATAAATATGTTGTCAGTAGGCCCTTATAAATGCATTACTTAATTGGACTTATTGCTTTAGTACAAAACCACTACAAACAAAATATTGGTAACAGCAAATCTTAGAAACCATTTAATACTATGCACAGGCAAAGCTGAGTGAAACAGCAGTTCACAGGCAAGAAAATGCATTTTTAAACATTTATAGGCAAAAAAGGTTAAATGCAATGATGGAAACAGGGATAAAAATATGGTTTTTATTTATTATTAATTTTTTTTTTTTTGTCCTTCAATACTGACATAGACAAAATAACCTTACAGGAAAGCTGGTAATAAATAAAAGCAATGTAAAAATGTATTTTTAATGTAATTAATTTCGAGTTAGCAAAGATTTAATATAGTTGTTATTGGGATTCATACTTGTTTACACAGTAGTTTAGCTTCTTCAGTAAATTTATGTGAATATTTTTCTTGTTCTTCTTTTACTCTTCGATCAACTACTTCACGTTTAACCTAATAAACATAATATATATATATATAGCTATTAATACATTTTAAATTAGGTATTGAAATGTAAATAAATAAAATGGATTTATATATATATATAATACGTTTACGTATAACTGGCAGAAGAAAATACTGCAGGTATTGTTTACGTAATCCAGATAATATGTAATATTGCCAGACTAAACAGTCGAAAGACTGGTTAAGTTAAATTTACACATTAACTGGGTATTATATATATATTTATTTTTGATGCCAACAAAAATATATATATATTATAATATAATTTTGTTAAAACACTTAAAACAGACTTTCTATACAGAGTATAAAACCATCTACAATACAAATAAAATATTTTAGACAGAAGAAGAGCAAAAATTTGTGTGTTGTAATTAAATAAAACTGAAATCTACGCAAACCAAGAATAATATTATTTTTGATTTCTTGCCCATATTGTTTTAGATAGGGATTTCACTGAGGGTTTTATATTTGATTTATTTAAAATGTTTCATTGATACTACGATTCTGTTTTAAAACAATAATTAAATATTTATATAAAATTAATTTGTACATTACGTTATACTAAACCAAATCTAATAAATTATGTTTGTAAATAAACAAAAATTATAAAACATAGTGAACACAATGACACGCATGTGAATACAATATTATTCTTTAATTCATGTCAGTTTGGGTAGGGTTTTATATAGTTGTCCAGTAGTTATAATATAACAATTTTTTTAATAGTACTACATATATCCAAGTTCAGTAAGTAATGAATGTATTTTCCATAATAAATAAATACAGCCAAAAGTTTCAATAAAAATTTAATTTTACTGTGAAATAATAATAATAATAATAATATAAAAAAATAAACGTGTCACCTGGAGTTTTATGAAATTTGTATTGTACGACTGGTTTCAAATTAAAAATTCATCTTCAGGTAAAAAGTAAAACGTAACTCACCGTTTAATAATTTTGTTTTTAATTTATTATTTTATTATTTAATAATTATTGTATACTTTAATAATTGGTTAATTTGTTTATTCATTAAATACATTCAAAATTGTTATTATCAAACTTTACATAAAATATAAGAACACAATGTTAAGTATTTGATTAAAAAATTTAAGTACATTATCTAAACAACTAATTCGTAAATTTATTCTTACTTTTTCCTTCCGTGCTCGAAATGGAGCTTGACCTTCAATCATTTCAAATACTAAACACCCAAAGCTAAACCAATCAGTGCTATACGTATATTTTTCATTATCAATTACTTCTGGTGCTGTAATATAGTGATAATTAATATTTGAATTAAGAATAAAAACACAATGGTTACATTATAATACTAATTTGTATATTTACCCATGTAACCAACAGTCCCCACTCTTCCTCTGACCGTTTCCCCTTCTGGTATTTCCATTGCTAAGCCCAAATCAGATATACGGACATGTCCTGCATCATCCAAAAGTATATTTTCAGGTTTACAATCCCTGTATACTATACCTTGAACGTGTAAATGCTCTAATCCACACAACACCTATATTAACACAATTGCCATGAAACACAAAATAAATAAATATATTGATACAAATAAAAATTGTTTAACTATAATATTGTTATAAAAAAATTATTTACCAATGTTAAATTTAGAAAAATATATCAAACTGATTTTAAAATGTTTAATAGTCTCTTTTTTTTTAAAAATTACCTACATATGGCTATTAAAAAACGAATAGTATATTTTCAAATGTATAAAACAATATTTAATTTTGTATTTTATAGTATTTAGTGACAACAAAACCAAAGGTATTTAAATAACTGATAAAATTGCGGAAAATTTAATATTTGCTAATAAATTAAAAATTGAATTATTACTACCTACTGCATAATAATACTAAAATTTAATTTAAATCTATAAATAAAATTTAAAATTACTTCAGCAGCATAGAATCGTGATCTTGAAATATCAAAACCTGGTTCTGAGCCCATATTGTAAATATGAAATTTTAAATCTCCACCGTTCATAATAGTTAATACTAAACATAACGCATCTTTTGTTTCATATGCATACGCTAAACTAACCTAAAAAATCAGATAAAATAAATTAGATAACCACATTAAATGTCAACTTAAAAAAAAAAGTACTTAAATAAATATCAACATACCACAAATTTAGAATTAATTTTTTGTAAAATTTGTTTTTCAATTAAAACCATTGCTTCACCTTTTCGTTTTTTAATACGTTTCTTTTCCAATTTTTTACAAGCATACATCTTACCGGTAGCTCGCACTTGACAGGCACAAACTTCTCCAAAACCACCTTTACCAAGAACTCTATACATGCGGAATGTTTTGTATGTAACGGGTTGCCTGAAACAGAAAAAAAAATGTTGATTCAGTTTAAATTTAGACTATATTACTTTGGCTTTCATACTATTATAAAAATTGAATTACATACACACCTTTCTAACCATTTCCATTGTAAAAATCTATGGAAATACATTGAAGATTCAAACAAACTAAATGGGCGGCCGGCTAAAAATGATTTCACGGCAGTTGAGCAATCAGTAAATAACTCTCTGTGAGCAGAGTCTAACTGGTGCCGACATCTGACTATCATGTCGTCATTTAATACGTCCACTGCATTCACTGCCTAATACCAAAAACAGTTAATTTGTAATATTGTGTAATGTAATACTAAAAATTGACTAATACAAATTGTTTGAATATTTACATCTCTTCTTATATATCTATCATAAAGTATTTTTGCTAGTTCTAATCTATTTTCATCAGATTCTATTTCATATTTTTCCTGTTGACAATAAAATAAATATTACCAAATATTTTTTATAAGCATTGCAAAAATTAATTAATATTTGTTCTCTTAAACTTACAATAGAATCTAAAAATACATTGTAGCGATGAAATTCTTGTCGTTCTTCTTCACAAAATTGAAGAAAGAGTAACCGACCGATTGGCTGTTGATCTATAATATAGCTGTATTTCATATCTAAAAAATCAAAATATATATTTAAAGAAAGGATTACTTAAATTAAAATATTTAAATAATCATATATGTGTACAGCAATTATAATCCAACCTTGAAACTCACCTAAAAGTGGTTTTAAATCAACACACTGAGATATATGTGGGAATTGTAAAATTTTTTTCCATTTTTTACTTTTTCCTTTATTGCTATCTGTACCACCTAAAATCAAATTACAACATTAGATTAATGGTTTTGATCAAAAATTAAAAATCACGGCCATATGGGATATTTGTATTAAATTTTAACTAGATACGTAACTATTCTATAATAACTAGAAGTCTTAAATTAAAGATACACTGGCTGAAACAGTGGTTCTCAACCTTTTCTGTATAATGACACCCTAATTTAGATCCATACAAATGATAAACACAACTGAGGACATACCTATTAAATTTTTTAGTTTTTCTTATCTGTGGGTTTTACCATACCTTAATGATAATATCATATATTTATACTTTCTAAAGGTATAGTAAAAACTATAAAGTATAAAAAACCATAAATAAACAATTTTTTTTTGGCGACACACATCACAGTAATACATCGGTTGAGAACCACTGAACTAGAAGACAAAATACTAGATTTCTACTGGAAAAAAATATACATTAAACAATTTTTAATTAAAAATAGATTTCAACATAAGATATATTTAAGTGAAAATTATATTTAACTTATTACTATCTATACAGGTACACATTATGAGGATTCAATATTTTCATTTTACTGTTTGGCGATTGATAGTCATTAAAAAAACTTACAAATGGCAACCTATAAAATAGACAATGAATGGAATTTAAAGATTATTGTTTGAATTGAACAAATAATAATATACTAAATTATATACCTACTATAACCTCCTATTCTTTCACAGATAGGTACAACATTAGGTACATGCACGAGCTCATTATTGTTGTAGTTGTATTACTACATTAACACTGAATCGAGCTCAATACTTTGTATTTAGATATTCAATATCAATATCAATAAAAATTATATTTAAACGTTAGATTATATAATATATCTTTACGAAAAATAATTATAGGTATTGCTCAGAAATAAACTGACAATTTACAAATGATCTTTACTACAGAGATAAGTTTCAGTTAAGCACCTACTTAGTTAAATATAACTAGAAATATTTAAATAAATCAATTTCCAGCAATCATTTCAAATTTGAATTATTTGAAAAATTAGAACATTAATCTATAATTAAATTATATTTTACAAGCAGCTAGGGAGACACCTACTTATAAAAAATAAATTTCCTTTTCTGGGTTAATCAATATTATGAATAATAAAAAATACCGAGAAACTGATATAAATATATGATAGACAATTATTACATTATAATTGCAAATGTTAAGACAAATTAATGTGATAAATATTGTTTATAATAGGAACTTGTTTCTAATGTCAAAATAAATGGCCGCAGTTTTAGATAAGTTGTTTAACATTTAATATTTAAATACACTTCTATGAATATTTAGTGAAACACAAATACACAAGTGTATAATAGTAATTATAATCGACTGTACTCATAGTATTAAATATCCTATGTCACCATCAAAACTCATAGGTAGGTACTTAAATTGCGTACCCATAAATAATGGTATAACAAAAGTTATATAAATTAAACTCAAAGTATCATGCAAGCAACATAGGTATATACAATTTTGCAATAATTTAAATGTTTTATGCAAATTAAATAGCAAACTAATTTAATGATACAAGTTATGAAGATTTATAAATAGGTTAGGACCAAATCTGTTATTATAACTTTGAAATAAATTTAAATTGACAATGGTGTTTTTTATAGTATTTGATTCTTAAGCAAGTACACCGTTTACTAATATATAACTCTGTATTTCACTATTCGGTTAACCAGAAAAATAACCGAGTAGGATTGGGAAAAAAATATCTACCTAACACAACTAATTTGTTAGGAAAAAATAATAAAACTTGGATCAGGTAACATAGTAAGGTTAGGTACAAATAAATAATTAGACAAATATACTACCTATATTATAGAAAAAAGCGTACTTTAATCAGGTACCTACTTCATATTGAGTGCATAATATTATCAACAAATTTAATATTAATATAACGGAGGTACCTTTATAGCAAGTATCTTAATTACACATTTTCTCCACATAATATTATGGTGAATAATTTAAGTAGGTATACTGTGAATAAATACACCTACATTTTATATGTTATTTAAGTAAAACAAAAGCCTGTCACTATAGACAAATGAAATATAATCAATTTTCGATTGTATTATTTAAAAAAATAAATACATATTGTGATCACTGATGAATAGATTTAAATATTGGACTATTTTTGTTCCCAAAAGGAAATATTGTCAGTACTCGATAGGTTATACCTAGGTAATTTTATAAATGTATTTAATCGGAATATTGTTGAACACACTAGTTATGTAACAGTGTTAAATTTGAACTAATTTACCGGCGTATGAAAAAATACTAACTTAAAGACTTCAAGGATAAATTAGCTTTGATCTACATATTATTGTTATTATTTGGTCTGTCTTCATCATCATATCGGCGTTTAAATAAATCAGAAATGACCGTGTAAAAAAAAAATAAAATAAAACGAATCACACATGCTAAATAATTACAGGTGCAGGTGTGTAATATATGCCTAGATCGAAAATCACTATAATTATCATCGACACAATTAAATTACAATTTTACATTTTGTAGTACGAATCGTTAAGTACATACGATCAGATTGCAACGAATCGGTGAGTATACCATTAGAAAAAAAAAAAAAAAAAAAAAAAATGTTTCAATCTCGGTTTTAATCAATGTAAAACGACAAGAGTACCTAGACAATGAATGAAAACTATAACTACCTACATAATAAACCGATTCCAGAGGTAGGTAAAGTGTTTCGTGCCGGGCAGGTAAATGAAGTCGGGGCAATACGAGTGGCGTGCAGAGGAACACGGGGAATATCTATAGCGGAAACGGGGTTGTGGACGAGTCAGTCGGTGTGCTCGATCGCCTCGGGGTAGGTAACGAAACGAATCCGTCGATAACATTGTGTGGACTTGTCAAAACAATAGGAGACCTTGCAGGTTGAAGGTCTCTGACGAAACGTTTACAAATTTTTATGAAAACTTTATTGTTAGCGAACATGATATTGAACGCCCGAGTGCTATACGACCGACGACGCAGCCATGTAGACGCAAAAATACCAGTGTACGGTGCACATAATATAGGTCACAGTATTCGGATTGTCGGGTCGTGCTGCAGACGCCGGGTGTAGGGTGTTTGGGTTGGTGGTGGCCGACGGAAAAGTCCGAAAGGATCAAGCGCCGCGGGGAACGTGGGAACACCGGGACCCCGTTTGCCGGGGAATTCCCGGACAACCAGCCACAGGGAGACCGCGCGACAGGTTACCTGCCCGTCAGGCGACGGTACAATAATATTTACGTAGGTACCTATTGTCGTTTCCGTTGGTATTTACCTTCTCTCGCTTTGAGGTATACGGTATTGGCCACAATGTTTTCTAATTCCATCAGTTCCAGTTTGGCTGATTTCCGGATGCCCGGGCCGACGACCACCACTTCCCATCAATGACACCGTTGACCGTTCCCGACGACGTTTTCGACGTTTTCGCGTGCGCCTGGTGTTCCGCCGTGGTTCGCGCGAATCGGTCCGTGTGCGCTGCGCGTATGTGCGTACCGTGTACTATGCGAGGCGACTGTGGTAGCGTACCTACGTATTCGAACGCGGGTACGTATGCGTGCGTGTGTTGCGTGTCTATGTGCGTGTGTGTCGCGTACGGTAGTGGTGTGTGCGCGCGCGCGTGCGCCTCCCCCTCCCCCGAATACTGGGAATATTTTTTCACAACGTTCTCGGGAGACGATTTCGGTTAACCAGACGAATATTCGGTTTACCAATACGCGCACGCGGTACCGCGGTCGACGACGACGGGGCACGGAGTATTATTACGTGTGTGGGGTAACCGGTGGACGGCGGCTAAACGCGCGCGCTACTGGCGACGGCAGATAAACTCGTTCGGGGGACGACGGCGGGCGGGTGGTAAAAGCCGTCGTATCTATCTCTATCTATCTGCTGCAACGAAACATAAAAAATATTATTAATAAACCAGTGTTAACGAGTAACCAGCGTTTGACCGGTGTCGTCGGTTGTGTAGTACAGCTGTAGCGTAATATCAACTACTACTACTAGTAGTAGTATTAACCAATAGTAGTAGTGGTAGTAGTAGTAGTTGTAGTTGTAGTAGTAGTAGTAGTAGTAGTAGTGGCGGTGGTGGTGGTGGCGGTCGTAGCGGCGGTAGTAACCGCGGTCGGCGTTGATTGATAACAGAAATAAATATTTCGTTTTCCGATTATAGCGCGCGCGCGCGCGCTCGTATACGACTCGACGACGACGGTCACCTCGCACGCTCCGCGTTCGCGTTTCTCCCGACCACGATCAGCACGCGTTGACGTCGCCGACGCTTCTATGGCGCTCGGCGGATCCGTGTGCCAGTGCCAGTGCAAGCCGAGAGCAAGTGCCGTGGCCGACGTACGCGCGCGCGCCCCCGGTCCCGCCGCCCGAGCCCGTCCGTCGGACGGCGGCGGCGGCGGCGGTCCATTACGGGCCGCCGTCAATGTTCCCCACTCGCCGCCGCGCCGCTGGACGCACGCGCACTTTGTGCGCCGTGCGCGCGCACAGCCGCGGCCGAGCTCAAGATCCGCCGGCTTTTTTACCATCGCGTCGGCCCGAAAAATCGCGTGCACGAGCCCTTGCCGCGGGACGATCTCTCTCTATTCACCATAGGTGTCGGTCGCGCACGCGAAATAATACGACACACAGATAGACAGCAGAAAAAAAAAAAACAACGAAATCCGTGGCCTCGACGGCGGCGTCGTCGGCGATAGCAATTTAAAAACCATTAATCTATCGGGATGACGACGCGCCGCTTCCGACGTTATTAACCGCGTTCATTACATTCCGGATAGTTTACATAGTTCACGAGGTCTCGGACGATTGTCTGGGCCTTACAAGAACCTTGTCGTTCGGTACGGTACAGGGGGGGGGGGGAGAGGGAAACGTTTCACTGCTTACATCCGTACCTGATAATTGATCTGTAATCGATATTTCGGGCCCCGACATTCTGATTTAAATACGCATGTTTTTTTTCGTTTTCGAACGAAAAAAATTATTCCGGCGGGCAGAGGGGGGGGGGAATCGTTGGCTTCACACAATTTTCGTTCCCCTTTTACGAAATTACGATTACCGCCGTCATCCACGCCGACGGACAAATCGCGGAACATGATAAATGTATTGTTTATTTTTGGTAACTCCAATCTCACCCGCTACTCCACCGATTTCGGTTGAAGTGCAGACGTCAAAAAACGGTCTTCGTCACGGCTCCGCGGCGGCTAACCTATAAATACGTTTCGAAATTTGAAAGGCTAAAAATATTCAAAGAATGTCGGTGTTTTTGAACTCTAGTCGCAAACCGTTTGTTTATTTCGTAAAGAGGTCGTTACTCTCCTGCGATATTTAAGGGGCCACGTATAGGCAATCATAACGAAATTTTCGAGAAATAAAAATTATGAAAATCGATCGACTCAAGAACAGTACCATTGAAACTTAAAAATTTGTGATCGAACACGTGGTCACACAGAATAGAATAAATTACCGTGATTCAAAGTGATTCTGAAATGTTTTTATAGTTACCGACGACGAGTACTTGTTCATAACGAGTATACTGGGTAAGTGAACATCGAAAAACATTAAATAATGTTATATTTTCAGGGTTTGATTTATTTGTTTAGCTGATGATTGAATATAAATTTATTCACAAAAGGTAAATAAAAACATGAAAAAAAAAAGTACACATCGTGGTAAATTTAATAGTATTAAGTATTCAAAAAGACTAAAAGACTAAAGTGAAATTGAAATTGAAAATGCATATTAATTACAGAAAATTGTCAATAATAAATTATACGAGTTGAAAAATTTTTGTTTAAAAATGTAGTTTTAATAAAATAAAATTCCTAATAGGCAAGTATCTCTGGAAAAATTATGTTTATTAAAAAAAACTACGCAACAGAAGGCATACTTTAGAAAAAAAAAATACATGTATACATAAATTCTCGGCCATCAAAACCATATTATATTTTTTATCACTGTATATTTTATTATTATTTAATTTGTCCGAAACAAAAGCCTTCACAAAAGTTTTTTAAATTCGTGACTTGACCCATCCGCTCGATATATATATGGAGATGCAGAAACGGGAGACCCGGAATGGAGAAGGAGGAAAAGGCAAAGTATTATATTAATTGAAAGTTATACTTATAATAATGTAAGCAAAATACATTTGTTTTCATTATATTAAATCTTCTTTTTGTGGCTGTTTTGCGAAATACATAATTATTTTTTACGAATGCCGGGAAAAAAGAACAACAATATTAAAATTTTGAATATAATAATTGAGTATTATATTATTGATTGACACTTTTACACTTTAGTGGCTTTTGACGGACTAAATTAAGTTCACTCAAATAAAAACATGAAAGTATGAAAAGGTCTACACAGGAAATTTCAGTGAATAAAAGGAATGCAAGATATATTGCAACCACTCATTATTTTGAAAATACTTTTTTTAACGTCATATTTTACAATTAAAAAAACCAAAATTTTTAAAAATGATATTAAATAAACAATTTTTTTTATTGTCATAATTAATGAAATGTAATGTAATTTGTAATTTATTTAAAATTTTAAAATTATTGTTCATTTTTGCTTGTTTTTTTTTTTACCGATTACCTTTCTTCACAATATTATTCATGAGTACCTGCACTAATTATTGCAGTAAATATATAGTGCACAAACTTCAATATTTCGTTATTTTTCTATTAGCAATATGTCAGCTGTCAATATTAAATAGTCTATAGAATTTGTTTCGAATTTCAACAAGGCCAATGAAAGCCGAAGGGGCTGAAACCATTCAGCCCCGTCACTCCTAGTCACGCCACTGCGTCCGACTACATTAACTTATCAATATATCATATTAACATAATATTATACTCACAACTAAACATTTGTCGACGAATCACAACGGTCAAAAACAAGTATTAAAATTCGTCTCCTATAATATACACGACTCTAAAGCAATACACTGCAGTAACAAGCGGTGACAGTTACAATGTGAGGGTAACTATATTATACTTTTTCTTTGTATTTTTGCAAAATACATACCAGGAGTAGGACAAAATAGCCGGTTGTGGGACAATAGAAGGGACGATGGTGCGAGGCACGACCTCTCCCCTCATCCGCCACCGCCGCGACCGTATACACTATGTAGACGGTCCGATTTACCCACTCGCCCTCCCTGTATTTCATTGTGTACGTAGATACATTCGTAAAAAAATCCTTTGATCATTTAAAACGAAAATATTTCTAAGAATGAGGAAGTTTCTCCGAGGACACGCACACACTCAACATTAATCTATGGTCTCTGTCTAGCAAAGCAAACATTTTTTTTTTCTTTGTATATGGTCCGCCAACCATACACACCGACTGATGTGAACCTTACCCGTGCGGCGCAAACGAGTGCAGTACCTGCCGATAATTTTATTTATATGACGAGCTTATTTAAAACGACACACCAGTATAAATCCTTTGATCATATCATACAATGACAATTTTTCCAAGAATGAAGTCACACACACACATACACACACGCAATAGCGTGCTCAGGACTTTTCAATAGGAGAGGTTGTAGTAAATAATGATCATATTTTCCGAATAAACCGTAGAACCTTTTTCAGTTACACCTAACCCGACAACGAAAATTAGTTTAAAAGTCAGATCCAAAATTCCAAAAAAGTCAATTAGTATTCAATAAATAAAACTTTTTTCTTCATAATTTAGCTAAAATAGATTTCGAACGATTTCGAAATAAAATTACTAAATAAACACTAGTTGGTAACTGTTGCATTTTTAAGCCGATAGGGGGATTTAACCCCAAATCTATTTTCTCGCATACATACACACACGCACACGCGTACAATACTCTTTTGCCTCTTGTTCGCCAACAAGTGTTCTTCGTTCACGTTGACATTTTTCATTTTCATTGTTTATATTCATGGGGGTTTTTTTTTGTTTACTCGCCGCGAACGTTTGCTACACTTGCCATACAATTTCGCAGAACGTAAACTTGCCGTGTACCGGTGCTGTATAGTAGTTTGTAAGCAAATTTTCGGGGGGCGGAGAGGTGACATTTATCATTTATTGTTTATTTTTTTTTAATACTTAGATTAGTTCAATGACTTAAATGGACTTCATTTGAATCATTATAATAATAAAAATAATAATAAAAATAATAATAAAATATTTTATTTCCTAGAATACATAATCATATTATTCACAGTTAGATATGAAATGATAATGCCTCCTAAAAGCAATGTTTGTGGAGAAAACACAGAATTCTATACTAAAAATATGCAGTAAAAACTAAAAAATAAAAATAAATATATATATATAAGCTCATTTATAACTAAAGCGATGCGTAATTATAAACAAATAATAAAACAAAAAATACATAGTACTCTATAAAAACAAAAACTTAATTTAAAACTTTATAAATAATATATCAGTATTTGCTCTGTAAGCTTTATTAAATGCAATCCTTATCGAGGAATTAATGGTTCTTTCTAACAATCTTAAGTGTATTCCACGCAGATATTCCATAAGGATAAATATATTTAGCTGGGGCATAAAACACCATTCTCGTTGTGTTTGGTAGTAAAATGTTACTAAATATTTTAAATTTACTATACATAGACTTAACTTGTTTGATAACTATATCAATATGCATATTCCATTTTAGGAAACTATCGGTAATTATTCCAAGGTTTAATGGAGTTGGCCGATTTTAAGGAAATACAGTTGCAGGTAGCGTTAATATCTTTATAGTTTAAACATTTCGAGTCATGCATTTTAATACAATTACAAACATCAAACATATTGGCTTTAGAAATAGTAAAAGAAATACATATTGTTTTATTGACATTTATTTCAAGTGAGTTTTCAATAAACATTTAATAATACATTTAAGAAATATCTCAAATAAACTTACATATTTTATCGAATAATTATTGTTGTGAAGGTAGGTATATGAGCTCTATGCTAAGTACGTGTAAAAGTGACTACCGTCGGTTTTTAGATCATTGGTGTACGAGTCAGATGATGATTTGCGGGTCTCATGGTGATATTGTAATAAATATATATTCTTATTTTATCCATTTTTTTTTTTTTTTTTTTTTTTTTTTTTTTTTTTTTTTTGTGTACTGACTCAGCCCTCGAATGAACTTAACGATTTCGCCGTGAAAATACAGTGGGTAATCGCTGCACGGTAGCAACACTTGAACATTATAATATTTCGGAGGGAAATGCCGTTGCAGAATATCCCTAAACCAAAGCTCGGATTAT